TCTAGGTGAGTTCGAAGATGATCTAGATGAGATCATGCTGTGTCTACAGGTTGTGGATGAAGATCCGAAATCGTTTGAAGAAGCTATGGGTTCAGTAGATGCAACATTCTGGAAGGAAGCTGTAAACAGTGAGCTTGACTCAATCATGTCAAATGGAACCTGGGAGCTTGTGGACCTGCCAAAAGGGAGCAGAGCTATTGGGTGCAAGTGGATTTTCAAGAGAAAGATGAGAACCGACGACACTGTGGAAAGGTTCAAAGCTAGATTGGTGATTGATAGGCCGTCGTCGAGCCTACCAAAGATAATAATTCCTATCTTGGTCTCACTAACAATAGTAAGGGTAAGAAAGGGTCGAACCCAAGAGAGGCGTTGAATCAACCACCGAGTACTACCGTTTAAATAAGCTAAACGAATTCTAAATTGGGTTGGTTTTTAGTAACTTCTTCTAACACAATTCAACTAAGCTAAGAGGAGGTTAACAATATTAAGAGGAATCCAGGGCTTGGGTTATACCACTCAACTTCATCACAAATCACAATTAGCATGCAACAATCAAGGTAAATTAGTGGGATAAATTAGGGGAAGTCATCTAAAGCACCCAACTACTCTCTCAAGCTAGAGGGATTACTTGAATCATGAATACGACCTACTTTCGTGGTTACATAGCATAAAACAAGTGTTAAAGCATAATCACGATGACATAAACATTCCCTTGACCGGTAATCCCTATTCTCATGGCATTTCGGGTCAATCAAGCATAAGGGAGCTAACTCAAGTTCATCTCTCGATCCTTCGTTGAGAAAGCTTGGATAAATAGTTCTAGCAATGGCCATATACAAGAACTAAGCAATTAAACCACTTAAGCTCAACTAATTAACATCCCACAACAACCAAATTAGCACATGCAACAAGTAATTAGTGACTACATTGAGGGTTTTGCCCAAACCCTAGAATTTAGACTACTCACAATCCATGGGGGTTAAAGCAATTAAAGAATTCAAGCAATTCATGAACAAATTCAAACTAAGGATTAAGCTAATTAACAATCCAAAACATGCAAGAACTAGCAAATAATTAACAACAAAGTAAAGAGAAGTAGAAAAGATGAGTAAGAAATGGTTACTATGAAGCTTCAAGGTGAGCAACAATGGTGGATTTTGTCTTCTACAATGATTGAATTTGAATAATTCCAAGCTAATAATTGAGAACTAACTAATGATTTGAGAATTTAATGTTCTAAGACTACAAACTAAGAGAAAAGCTCTGAAAACTGCCTCCCCCCCATACAAATGAGCTCTAAAGGGGTATTTATATGACCCCCAAATAAAAAGGACGGAGAAAACAAGGAAGGAGTTCGACTGCAGGTCTGCACGGACGTGCCAGATTTGGCACGGACGTGCAAGGCTAAGCACGGCCGTGCTAAGTTTGGCACGGACGTGCAGGAGGGCCAAAATGGAGGCAGAAGCTTCTGCCAAGGTCTGCACGGACGTGCAGCTTTTGGCACGGACGTGCAGACTTGCACGGACGTGCTATCATCTTGCACGTCCGTGCAGGATGCCCTGCCTAGACTGCTTAACTTTGGGAAGTTGTAACTTCTACGTTTCTTGTCGGAAATGGACTTGTGACCAGTCGTTGGAAAGCTCTTGAGACGAACTTTAATCTCCAATTTGAATCGCTTCAAAAAGTTGATAAGATCAAAAGTTATTGTTGGTTGAAGTTGACGCTTACGCAAACGACCTTTCAAGGTTCTCCAAAAGCTTTTCATTTCCCTTTAAGGCATTCCTCCTTCTTCCTCCATGGCTCTATCAACCAAACTTGCCCTTATCCTTTCTCACTCATGCTTGATCATTTCCATAGTGCTAAAAATAGCTACATTACATCAAAAACACAAACAACCGGTGAAGCATGCATGGTACAAAATTTGCATAACAATAGGATAAAAAATGAACTTTGATGTCGATTAATAACGAAAACAAGGTTCAAAAGTACCCTAAAATCATGCCAAATAACAAGTTATCAAATCCCCCCAAGCTAAGATTTTGCTCGTCCTCGAGCAAAACAAACATGTCGAATCAAAGGAGGAAAACGACTTGCTAACAACAATCCAAGGAAAGGCAACAAGGAGGAAGCATAAATACACAAATCCGCATGGTGACAGCCATCATCACTTTTAGCACAAGTGAGAAGCAATTTAAACCTCTAAGTCGCCTTAGAGGACGAGTTTTTATCTCGTGAGGGTTTCCATTGAGCTTAACCCACAACTCACACAAACCACAACAAAACTATCAAACTACACAAGTTCTGATGTTATTATCACCCAAGTCAACTCATCGAGATATAAATAGCAAGCAAGACAAATGAGCGACTTTCAAGAATTACCGATCATACAAATGTACACATGAGTTGGGGGTAGAGAGGAAAACTAAAGAAGGTTGCACTAGGATACTTCCTTTGGCCTTTTACTAGTTCATTAGAGCACACCTAGATATTCCAAAGTTGTAATGAGCCCTCTTTCGGTTATAAAATCTCAAAATGCTAGTCCACCTCCCAAAATGCACACCCAAGGCCCCTTAATTACACTCTAACTCGGGAATTTCACAAGAAACAATAAGCAACAAATTCGACAATGTGTGGGAGGCATCCACAAGTTGACCTCTAAAGAAAAGAAAATCAAAATTTTGAGAATTTTTGGGGGAGTTTTTTTTTTTTTTTTGTTCTCCCTTCTTTTCTATTTATTTATTTTTTTTTTCTCTCATTTTTTTTTACATTATTGCCCTCGCCTCTTTTAACTGTGAGCGGCTCTTTCTTTATTCGAAACGTGTGGCTTATTATGCCACTTATTACACATAATACAAGTATAACCAATTCCCTAATAGAGTTTCATTTCGGGGAGGAAGTGAGGCACATTAAGGGCACAAGGGACCGCAATTTGACTCAAACATATCCTACTTTGGGCAAATTTAACAATATCCTATGCTAGATGTGCAATTGAGCATTCATCGACTTTCATTTCATATACACTAATGCAACCAGGATTAATAGACCTCTAAATGACCCCAACTCTTGCATGCACCCTTCTAAAAGAACTAGTACTCATCGCTCAAGAGTCAAGCAAGAAAAACATATAAGCATTGTCATTTGAGTCTCAACCTTGGGCAATTTTATTTTTTTTTCATTTTTCAATTTTTTCATCATTTTTTTTAGAGAAAGCGAAAATATTCACATTACTAACTAGAGAGGGAACACTAATATTCACATGACAAGAGGTTTGGATTTCAAGGAAGCTAAATTGGATTAAGGGTCTTGGATATTAGGGAAATGAAACAACCGAAACAAACGCAACCAAACAAACCAACATGTCAAGAAGGCATGCAAATGACTCCCCCCAAGTTATCATAAACATTGTCCTCAATGTTAAGCAATAAAAGCTCATAAAAAAAAGGAGAAAGAAGACTAACTCAAGGATCGGGTCTTCTTCGACGCTTGAACCTCCTTGGTACCTTTGTTCCTGTTGGTTGTTGTTGGAAGACATGCACTTTGTGCTGTTTTTTTTTTTTTTTTTTTTTTCTTCTTTTGTTTTTTTCTTTCTTTTTTTTTTTTTTAAAGTTAATCCACTACAAAAATATTCGGGTTGCCTCCCGGAAGCGCTTCTTTAACGTCACTAGCTTGACGAAATTGCGCTATCCAAAATTAGGGAGGATCAAGGCACACCTTTTTGACCCATCTCATTGTTCCCACACACTTGCCATTTTCCTTAGGCAAAATAATCACATTGCTATCATCACTAGAAATGCAACCAAACATCTTGTCTATCAACTTGATTTTGTTTTTCTTTTTCTTCTTGGCCCTCTCTTGCTTTTTCACCTCCGGAGCATGAGTCGATTCATCTTGTGACTCCTCCATGTCTTCTTTCAAAATATTAACCAAAACATCAACCCGATGAACTTGTTTAACCATGGGGTCATTCAACGTTTCCGGAAATGAGAAAGAGATTCTTTCATGCCCAACATTTAAGGTAAGCCGCCCTTTTTTCATGTCAATATTAACACCCGCGGTTTTCAAAAAGGGCCTACCCAATATGAGAGGAATTTTGAAATCCTCATCCATCTCCATGATTACAAAATCACAAGGCACAAGAACCTTCCCCACTTGAATTGGGATGTCCTTCAAGACTCCCAATGGGACTTTAACCGAGCGGTCGGCTAGTTGGATTGACATTTTGGTGGGGCTAATCTCCCCAAGATTTAATCTTTTTGCCATAGAGAGAGGCATAAGGCTAACACTAGCCCCAAGATCACACAAAGCATTTGTTGATTCAAGATCTCCAACCTTAACCGGTATAGCAAAACTACCGGGGTCACCAAACTTCTCGGGAAGCTCATTTTGAGGAATAGCACTTATCTCCGTTGGAAGAGAGATAGAATCACTCTCCTCAAGCCTACTCTTGTTAGAAAGAATATTTTTCAAAAACTTTGCATATGTAGGCATTTGAGACAAAGCATGGAGAAGTGGAATGTTTGATTGAAGTCCTTCCATTTCATCAAGGAACTTAGAAAGTTTCTCATTTAGCTTCTTCTCTATCATTCTATGAGGGAATGGAATATGAGGCTCATATGCTCTCAATGGAGCTTGACTCTTCACTTCTCCCTCATCTCTCTTTGAGGCACCCTCATCACTCATTTTTGACCTTCCTCTCGCCTCCTCACTCACTTCATTTTCAAACTCACTTTCATCTACCCAACTATCTCCCTCATCTCCCTTTTTGGCAACATTTTCTCTCATAATTGGAGTTTCATACCCCCCTTCCATAATCAAGGTGATTGATTTCGCTTGCTCTTTTGGATTCATTACCGTTGTGCTTGGAAATTGACCACCGGGGTTAGAGGATGAACTTCCAACTTGTTGTGCAATTTGAGCCAATTGGCCCTCCATTATCTTATTATGTGCTTGGAGTTGTTGGATGTTTGCATTCATCTCCGCATTGTTCCTTATTTGTTGAGTCATGAAAGTTTCAAGAACGGACTCAAGGCTAGTCTTTTGAGGAGGTGGAGGAGGAGGAGCGGGTTGGTTATATTGTGATCTTTGGTGGTTTTGATCCCTTTGGTTGGGATGGCGGTATGGAGCTTGTTGGTTTTGTGATTGAGGTTGGTTGTAGTGGTTTTGAGGTTGGGTTTGATTTTGGTTGTAGTTATTTTGTGGGGGCCTTGGTTGTATTGCTTCCATCCCGTGTTATGTTGGGGCTTCCAACTTTGATTGTGGGATTGGGAGTATTGTTCATTCCTTTGCCCAATTGCCGCCGCTTGCTCTTGATTCGTTGAGTTGCAATAAGAGGACAAGTGATCATTTCCTCCACAAGTCTCACAAGACATGACTTGCGAGGAAGAGCTTGAGGGTGTGAGGGTGGCTTGATCTAGCTTGTGAGCTAGCATATCAAACTTTGATGCAATAAGATCTATTGCACTAAGATCATGAATTCCGCCCTTCTTTGTTTGAGGTTGCCTTCTATCACCTCCATATGCATAATGCTTGGCCACTTCTTCAATCATCTTGTATGCATCGTCCACCGATAGCTTTTTGAGGCTACCACCGGCCCCGGAATCAAGGTTGGCCCTTGAAATAGGAGTAAGACCGTCATAGAAGCTTTGTACAATGATCCATGATGTAAAACCATGGTGGGGGCATTTCCTTGTGTAATCTTTGAAACGCTCCCAAGCTTCACTCAATGTTTCATCAATGTCTTGATTGAAATTGGTGATCTTTCTTCTTAGTTCGGCGGTCTTTTCCGGAGGACAATACTTTCCAAGAAAGGCTCTAGTGACTTCGTCCCATGTACTCAATGATCCCTCTTCAACCGTTCTCAACCAATGTTTTGCTTTATCACGGAGGGAGAATTGAAACATGTGCATACGGATGAACTCTTCCGAAATGTTGTTTTGCTTGATAGTTGTACACAACTCAAGAAAGTTGTCCAAATGAGCAAAAGGACACTCATGAGGACTACCTCCGAATTGATCGCTTTGAATCATACGGATGAGTTGAGGTGAAAGTTCAAAGTTGTTTGCATTTGTGGTGGGAAGACGTATGCCACTCCGAAGTTGGAATGCGTTGGGGTGGTCATAGTCTCTTAACAATGGTTGAGGAGGATTCTCTCCCATGTTATCTTCTTCGTTAGTTCCAAAAACCTCTTCCGGATCGGAATCCGAATATACAATGGAAAACTCGGGTGTGCCTTGCAAGAGTCTCCTCACGTTTCTCAAAGTCCTATTTAGCTCTGGATCAACGGGAATAAGCGGTGATTGCTTACTCTTTCGTGTCATGCAAAGTCAAACAAAGCTAAGAAAAACGTTAGCAATGACTATCGCAATTTAAACACACATAAACAAAAATTAAGGTAAGAAAACTACTATACATATACACACATCTAGTCTCATTCAACAATAATACATTCAATGTGACTTTGCCTCCCCGGCAACGGCGCCAAAACTTGATAGGCCGTCGTCGAGCCTACCAAAGATAATAATTCCTATCTTGGTCTCACTAACAATAGTAAGGGTAAGAAAGGGTCGAACCCAAGAGAGGCGTTGAATCAACCACCGAGTACTACCGTTTAAATAAGCTAAACGAATTCTAAATTGGGTTGGTTTTTAGTAACTTCTTCTAACACAATTCAACTAAGCTAAGAGGAGGTTAACAATATTAAGAGGAATCCAGGGCTTGGGTTATACCACTCAACTTCATCACAAATCACAATTAGCATGCAACAATCAAGGTAAATTAGTGGGATAAATTAGGGGAAGTCATCTAAAGCACCCAACTACTCTCTCAAGCTAGAGGGATTACTTGAATCATGAATACGACCTACTTTCGTGGTTACATAGCATAAAACAAGTGTTAAAGCATAATCACGATGACATAAACATTCCCTTGACCGGTAATCCCTATTCTCATGGCATTTCGGGTCAATCAAGCATAAGGGAGCTAACTCAAGTTCATCTCTCGATCCTTCGTTGAGAAAGCTTGGATAAATAGTTCTAGCAATGGCCATATACAAGAACTAAGCAATTAAACCACTTAAGCTCAACTAATTAACATCCCACAACAACCAAATTAGCACATGCAACAAGTAATTAGTGACTACATTGAGGGTTTTGCCCAAACCCTAGAATTTAGACTACTCACAATCCATGGGGGTTAAAGCAATTAAAGAATTCAAGCAATTCATGAACAAATTCAAACTAAGGATTAAGCTAATTAACAATCCAAAACATGCAAGAACTAGCAAATAATTAACAACAAAGTAAAGAGAAGTAGAAAAGATGAGTAAGAAATGGTTACTATGAAGCTTCAAGGTGAGCAACAATGGTGGATTTTGTCTTCTACAATGATTGAATTTGAATAATTCCAAGCTAATAATTGAGAACTAACTAATGATTTGAGAATTTAATGTTCTAAGACTACAAACTAAGAGAAAAGCTCTGAAAACTGCCTCCCCCCCATACAAATGAGCTCTAAAGGGGTATTTATATGACCCCCAAATAAAAAGGACGGAGAAAACAAGGAAGGAGTTCGACTGCAGGTCTGCACGGACGTGCCAGATTTGGCACGGACGTGCAAGGCTAAGCACGGCCGTGCTAAGTTTGGCACGGACGTGCAGGAGGGCCAAAATGGAGGCAGAAGCTTCTGCCAAGGTCTGCACGGACGTGCAGCTTTTGGCACGGACGTGCAGACTTGCACGGACGTGCTATCATCTTGCACGTCCGTGCAGGATGCCCTGCCTAGACTGCTTAACTTTGGGAAGTTGTAACTTCTACGTTTCTTGTCGGAAATGGACTTGTGACCAGTCGTTGGAAAGCTCTTGAGACGAACTTTAATCTCCAATTTGAATCGCTTCAAAAAGTTGATAAGATCAAAAGTTATTGTTGGTTGAAGTTGACGCTTACGCAAACGACCTTTCAAGGTTCTCCAAAAGCTTTTCATTTCCCTTTAAGGCATTCCTCCTTCTTCCTCCATGGCTCTATCAACCAAACTTGCCCTTATCCTTTCTCACTCATGCTTGATCATTTCCATAGTGCTAAAAATAGCTACATTACATCAAAAACACAAACAACCGGTGAAGCATGCATGGTACAAAATTTGCATAACAATAGGATAAAAAATGAACTTTGATGTCGATTAATAACGAAAACAAGGTTCAAAAGTACCCTAAAATCATGCCAAATAACAAGTTATCAGTGATAACATGATTCACTCAAAAATTTGGCCTTGATTATTTTTATACTTATTCTCCGGTGACTAAAATTGCCACTATTCGTGTTTTGTTTGCCTTAGCTTCATCTTACAACTTGATTGTGCATCAGATGGATGTTAAGACAGCTTTTCTGAATGGCAATTTGGAGGAGGAGATCTACATAGAGCAACCTCCGGGTTTTGTAGTTCCTGGGATGGAGAATAAGGTGTGCAGACTAAAAAAGTCCTTATATGGCTTGAAACAAGCTCCGAAGCAATGGTATGAAAAATTTCATAAAACTATTCTTAGTTTTGGTTTTGTTGTCAATGGTAGTGATGCATGTGTGTACTCTAAGATGTTTGGTGCGTAATGTGTGATATTATGCCTGTATGTTGACGACATGCTCCTGTTTGGCACAAACATGTACGTCATTAATGAAACTAAGAAATATTTAAATTCAAAGTTCGAGATGAAGGATTTGGGAGAGGTAGATGTGATCCTTGGTGTTAAAGTTACTAAAACCAAGAAAGGGTAATATCTATCTCAGTCTCATTATGTGGAGAAAAATCTGAAGAACTTTAATTGTTTTGATTTGCCTCCATTGAGAACTCCTTTTGATCCTTCTGGATTTTTGGTAAAAAATGTGGGGGACGGTGTGTCTCAAACTGAATATGCTAAGGTGCTTGGAAGTCTGATGTTTTTGATGAACTGCACTCGCCCTGATATTGCTTTTGCTGTTAGTAGACTTAGTCGCTATACTCATTGTCCTAGTGAGCAACATTGGGTTGCTTTGAGGCGTGTGCTCAGATATCTATGTGGAACCATGTCTTAGGGATTGAATTTTGTTGGTCATCCTTTGGTTCTTGAAGGGTATTGTGATGCAAATTGGGTAACGGATAGTGATGAAACAAGCTCTACAAGTGGCTATGTGTTTACCCTTAGTTGGGATGCAGTTTCATGGAAGTCTGATAAGCAGACGTGTATAGCTAGATCAACTATGGAAGCTGAGTTCATTGCATTGGATCTTGTTACACAAGAAGCAGATTGGTTGAGAAATTTGCTGAACGATATTCCTTTGTGGGGGAAGCCATCACCACCTGTATCTATGCATTGTGATTCACAAGCCGCTATATGTGTTCCTAAAAATAGCGTTTATAACGGTAAGAAAAGGCACATAAGAGTCAGACACGAGTCTGTGAGGCAATTTATTGTGAATGGGGTTATTTCGTTGGACTATGTTCGAACAGAGAAAAACCTGGCAGACCCTTTTACTAAAGGTTTGAGTCGTAGACTAGTGGTGGAGTCATCAGCTGGTATGGGTTTAGGACCTTTGTTGTAATGACTTGAAGTGGTAGCTATTCTAGCTATGTGACATGATACATTGGTTATGATAAATCAAGAACCTGTTTTGGTTATTTTGTTTCATTGCAATGAATCATGTGGATTTGTTATATGTGTATCATGTGTTTGAATCTATTACTCTATAAGAGTGGTAAGTTGATTCTGTTAGGTTGAGTTTATCTCTTAATGTCATTAGTCTAGTTGTTTTCTGAGCAGGGATAGGTGGAGGTTCTTAAAGAGTTAAGACCTTTATCCCAGTGGCTCCTAAAACAGGATAGATAATGACACCGAAAGTTGAAGGGTTGAACTTATGTTCTTAATGTTCTAGTTCCATTGCATGGATTTCTTAGGTTTGCAAGGTGCTTAAACATGTTTAAGCCTGCAGGGAAAGACCTTTGAATTTGCTGGGAACGTGTGTGAGTAACACATAGGATGAACACCTACGTGAGTACGAGAGGTGGCCTCTCTCAAGGGAAGACTGAAGTATTGTTTTCCTGAAGTACTCATGAGAGCTCAAGTGTTGGCCAAGATTGGCGGAGTTGCTTAAGCTCTAAATTCAAGGTATGTGCATTCAAGGTCCCTTCCTCGCTCCTAGGAGTTCAATTCTTAGGATACTCACTAGGGAAGTGTTGAAAACCTTGTGCACTAATGTGTTAGTTCAAACCTTTGGATACTAGCATTTAAGTACTAAGACTTTCATTTACTGTTCAGATTTCATGATCTCATGTCCGTTTTGCATTAGTGGGGGATTGTTGGAGTATTTGCAATTCTAGTAATGCAAATCGGAGATTTACCAAGTGAGTGTGCGAGGATTTAACGAGGGAGTGATATATGCAAGCTAAAGATCTAGCGAATGAGCTATAGCTCTAGCGAGGATAGATAGCTTCGGCAAGGCCGAGCTATAGCTCGGGTGAGAGAGCTATAGCTCGCTGCTGCTCGTGGTCGCTGCAAGGCCAAGCTATAGCTCGGATACGAGAGAGCTATAGCTCGCTGGCCATTTGCTTGCGGCAGGGGCGAGCGAGAGCTCGAGCGAGAGCTCGCTGCCTTAGTTGCTCACTGCTAGGCCGAGCGATAGCTCGCTCGACTGCGAGCGAGAGCTCGGTCGATCAGTTTGCTTTTGGGCGGTGGGCTTGCGTGGGCTAAAAGACCTAATTTCTTGGCTTGTTCCTTACTCCAATATATTCATATAAATACCCTCATACCACAAAATCAATACACGTTAATTTCATTATTGATTATACCCTAAACACACAAACACAAACCTACCCTTTGAGATCTGAACAGTTCTTGAGCAATTCCACTCTTCGGGTTCGGGTGCACGAATTACGAAGGAGAGTTGCGTTAAACTTGGGGGGCGTGCGTCACTAGGAAACTTGTACCGGTGGTGGCGTATTTCGCTTCTAAGGCAGTGGATTTTGTTTCGCGGCGCGACTGTGAGTTTGGGATCTTCAATCCAGGAAAGTTCTAATCTTTTCTTGTTTGTTATTGATTTCAACAGTTATTTTACCAACAAATATTAAATGGTACTCGCAGTGCAATTAAATTTTACAATGGGAATACGAATTCGGACTTACTCATAGGTCAGCC